AGCCTACTTTCTCACAGCAAGGAGACCTGCCCATTACAAAGTAATCTTCAAGTGTAGAAGAAGAAAAAAATAATTGATATCACAAAGAAAAACCCTACAAAGAGAAGGTAGAGTGAGATGTGTGAAACCTATATGATATATAAGGACAGAGAATCTAATATGATCTGTTGGTGTTACCTCATAATCGGTCCCATTTCAATTCGTATTTTTGAGTTGTTGGCAAATAACAATTTTACCGTGCTATAATTTAATATAATCTTTTGNATCTGTTTGTGTTACCTCATAATCGGTCCCATTTCAATTTGTATTTTTGAGTTGTTGGCTAATAACAATTTTACCGTGCTATAATTTAATATTATCTTTTGCGGTGAATAAACGGTTGAGCAGAATATTGACTTTCTTCAAAATGAACGGAATAAAACGATAATGGTCGATGCAAGAGTTCGACTCTTTCCTCTTAAGACGATAATGCACCGCACTGGTGCTAAAAGTCTTCCGGCACTCGTCTCTCAAGATACAACGATCTCAATTTGTAATGGTAGCACTCCAAATTATAAGATCTGACAAACCTATTAATATTTTTTATATCTCAAGTTGAACAGTTGTGTCCAAATTTCCAAAAGACACAATATCCGAAAAGTTGTATTTTAAATAGACACAACTTGTTTGGACAGACAGTTTAACTATCAATCGCCAGTTTCTAAAAGATGCCTTCGTGTCGCGTACAGAATTCGAGGAAAAATAAATAATATAAATAAATATATTATTATTTTAAATAATAATAAAATATTATAATTCAAATATTATTTTACCAAAAAATATATATCAACTTGACCCAAGCCCACGACCCAAAACTCGTGACCCGTGCTCGTGTCAAGCCGAGCCGAGCCGACCATCTGGTCGAACAGGCGACAGAGACAGCGAGCGTGTGTGGGCGTTGACTCAACTTACTAGCATGTATGTCCTCTCCCATTTAAAGACCATTGGTACCCCTTGAGACCCAAATCCAAGTCTCAAACTTGAACAATATAAAGTGGATTATATTCTTCTAGTTTTCCTATGTGAGATTGTCATTTTTCAAATTTTCACCATTTTTTATTCCCAATTTATTTCAACTTCAAATAAAAAAAATAAATACATTACATTAATCTACTCATAGAGTAGAACACACTTGACGAAAGAAATCTTTTATCCAACTAACGGGACCCACTAAAATAATTGATCAAAAGTTGGTCAAACCAACTAATTAAAACCAATTTTCCAACTTGAATCACTGTTCGAAGATGTATTTCCATTGCATTGCGATATATTTTAATGTATTGGACAATGGATTGGGAGATATCTTTACTACATATGAATAATACTTCTTTCGTTCCATAAAGATATATTTATTTCAATTTTCACACAAATTAAAAAAAGTGTAATTAATATAGTTGAAAGCATCAATTTTCTTACATTTTTT